CATGGAAGGGAATGAATTTTAGGTAGGGATAACCACGTTTTTCTGGAGTTGTTTATGTTGTGGAAAGAGAAACCAAGCACAATCAGATACATATTCTATATTTCTAAAAAGCTCGTTTCTGTAAATGTGGGATGTGGAGGGGTTGGACAGGATGGCCCTTCTAGTTTCTTCCCATTCTGATTCTACGAAAACAGGATGTGGCACCAAGTGCCAAGAGCAGTGTGCCAAACCTGCCTAGAAAGAAAGCTAACATAATATGTACAAAAGGACAGAACATACTACTAGCACCCTCCAAGACACACACATTGCAACTCACTCTACAATGAGTCTGCTTTCATCCTTTCTCAGTCTGGGAGTCCATCTCAAAAAACCAACCCCATTCATATCCAGAAGTAACTTGCAAAAACAGAACATTATGCTTGTGCTCTCATATAACCCTATAAATTTATTATTGGATTCATCTTTAATATGTGCAGTCTGGCTTCAAGGTTTTGGTTTTTTAAGCAATATAAATGCATATTCATGAAAGGTAGGAAAGCATGAAACAGCTGAGGCTTCACTGTTCCAGGAGGCAGATGTTCCTTGAATTATAAAAAATTATAGAGTGTGCTTGCCACAGGCATCTAGACTTACTCCTAGGAGGGTAGCTGTATAAAGTGATAAATATATTTATACTACTGAACCATCTAGGTTAATGTTGCCTTTAGCAGCTCCACAACTTGGTCCCTCCAGATGTTCTGAACTACTATTCCTATCAACTCCAACCATTGCTGATGATAAAAAATGACGATGTCCAAATAACTGGAAGGCACCAATTTGGGGAAGATCTTTAAGAAGCTTTGGGAAACACTGCCTTGCCGTCTTAAGAAGAAAGCTTCTGCCATCGTTGCCTCTGGATTTTGGCAACAGCGCTTCAAGGCTTCCATGTGGACTTGGTCTTTCAGAGTTTTTAGCATGCTTTGGGGCAGTGAAAGTCTTTGGAGTCTTCCCTTGAGTGTTAAAAAATGTAAGCCTTTGCTAATGCTGATCCCTCTACTAATACCAATCTCTGACTTTCCGTTTCAGCCTCTTTTCTTTGGGGGGAAGAGTGTCTTAATGTATTCCCAAAACTCCTAAAGCTGCCAAAGGATTACATAATAGAAAGATAATGGTAGCTTTCTTTGCTCCTCTAGTGATTTGGCAAACCTAGCAATTTAGAGGCTACAAGAAAAGAACTAGAGCACCACATGCGGAGTACACATTTCCTACTTTTGGCATAGAATGATCTTCAAAAATAAGTCAAATCTAACAATTTCTATCCCTGACATGGTGAGCATTTCACCAGCTCCTGATACAGGTTGAGCATCCTTTATCCAGCATTCCAAAATATGAAAATATCCAAAATCCAAAACAGGTAATATGAATGGCTGAGGTAGGGACACTGTTGCTTTCTGATGATTCAATGTTCACAAGCTTTATTTCATGCACATTATTTATATTTTTATAAAATTATTTCCAGGCTATGTGTACAAGGTTATAAAACATTTATGCATGTTGTGCTTAGACTTGGGTCCTACCTCCAAGATATCTCATCCTGTATCTATACATAAATGCAGGTATTCCAATACTCTTGAAGGAGTTAATGAGCTTAATAATGCAAAAATGCTGAAATGCTAACTTAGAGTAAAGGTACCCTTCTCGGCAAAAGAGTACAGGAGATTGGAGGCCAAGGAGGAGATTGTGTATTTTAGAAACACAGGATGACCTGACATTTCAATGCTTATCTATATACAAAATAATATATGTTTATCTATGCTGGTACCGCATATGTACAGCTTATCAGTTAGAAGTGTCGAAATGGTCAAATAATGAGAAAAGCATGTTTTTAAGAATCTGATTGGAGAATGGGGAAGGGTTGAGGGGTTACTCCTTGACACAGTAAAAAATTGTATAAAAGATAACAGGAAGATTGTAACAGGACAGAAAGCCATTTCTTTGAAGGCACGCTTTGGTCTTCGGCTGGTTCCGCCTATGCGTGGCCACGCTGGAAAAAAAATTAAGATTTTTGCTTCACCTAAGGAGGCTGGTTGTTTGCATCTGCTCTGTGGGACTTAGAAGTTTTAGGGGTTCCCTTCCACTCTGAAATCCAAAACACATCTTGTTCGAAGCACTTCAGATCAGGGAGCCTCAACTCTTAGGGTTGAGGCTCCCTGATCTGTGGGTCCCCAGGTGTTCTGGCTTATAACTCCCAGAAATCCCAGCCAGTTTACCAGCTGTTAGGATTTCTGGAAGTTGAAGGCCAAAACATCTGGGAAACAGAACAGCCCCGGCCCCATTCTTTCCAGCTTGGAGATCAGGAGAGGGGCAAGATTTCAAGTTGTGTTAATACAGAAACGACATGCACATATACATATTCTCTTCCAGGCTAACACTAAGAAAACAATGCTGCAGTTGACTATTTGGACAGTGAGTACCTTAACACTTCCTGGAGTTAAGGAGAGGCAAGATACAAGGAGTCGCCTTTTTAGGCTGATATTTGCGGTATACAAAAGAAGTAAGTAAATAAATAAATAAATATTTGAAAGTGGTTCAGGGGCGAAACAAGTGAAAAGTGTAGAATCACAGAGTTGGAAGAAATTGCATGGGCCATTTAGTCCAACTCTATACCATGCAGGAAAAGCACAATCAAAGTACTCCTGACAGATGGCCATTCAGCCTCTGTTTAAAAGCCTCCAAAGAAGGAGCTTCTAGTGTAGTATACTGTAGAGAAATAATCTTAGGGCTTATGTTCTGAGTAAGTATGTCCAGCATTGTGGAAAAAGGGAGGTTCTGGTGGGAAACATTTTTTTGACAAGTCTTCAGATTAAATGTCTGTTAAGAGGTGTGTGTGCATATCATTCCAAGTCACCTGTCAATTTATGACGACCCCAATGAATTGTATAGGGTTTTCTCCGTCAAAGAATACTCAGAGGCAGTTTTGCTAATTCCTTCCTCTTAATGATACTCTGTAGACCTGTGATGCATTGGCAGTCTCCCATCCAAATACTAACCAGAATGACCCTTGTAGCTTCCAAGATCAGACAGCATCTAGCTCCTTTAGGATATATGTAGGCCTACATACATAGGCAGGGTCATTGTGGGGAATTTTCAGGTGTGCACTTTCTTCCAAAGATCAGAACAAAAGGGTTGTTAAAAGCCACTTAAAAACGAAATAAAAGCTTAAATTAAAGTGCATGAGCAAAGTGTTTTTGGTTGATTTCTAATCTATTTTATATACACACATTTTATTCTTTTACACAACAATTAAAGGAAGTTTAGTTGCCCTTCAACTAGAGCAGACCTTTCCAAACATTTCATGATGGTGACACACTTTTTAGAGAAGCATCATTTTGTGACACACGAATTCAGTTTTACTAGCAAACTGGAGGTTAAAACAAGCCATTCTATCCCCAATGCTCCTTAATATTTACATGAAGCAGCTGGGAGAGATCATCTGTAGGCATGGGATGGGGTGTTATCAGCATGCTGACGACACCCAAATATATTTCTCCATGCCTTCAAAAACAGCCTTAGCTAAGGGTAGCATGTCTCCTCTGAATGAATGCCTGGAGGAGGACATGGGCTGGGTGAGGAAAAGCAAATTGGCACTGAATCCAGACAAAAAAGAGATGCTTGACATCAAGGGTCCTAATCTGGGGATCTTGAGTTTGGACTTCTGCATTTTTGTTTACATTGGGCTACCTTTTTACCAAGTTCTTTCAAACAAACTAGTAAAATATGGGCTCAGCAATGCTACTATTAGATGGATCTATAATTGGTTAAATGACCAAACCCAAAGAGTGATTCTCACCAATGGTTCCTCTTCATCCTGGAAAGAAGTGACTATTTGGTGCCATAAAAACAGTTCTGTACTGAGCCCATTACTGTTCAACGTCTTTATTAATGGCTTGGATGAAGGTTTAGAGAGCACGCTGATCAAGTTTGCAGATGGGACCAAATTAGGAGGGAGAGCTAATACTCCAGAGAACAGGATCAGAATTCAAAAGGACCTCAACAGATTAGAGAACTGACTGGCCAAACAAACACAATAACAAATGTAGGCAGAAAAAAATGAAATGCAAAGATATGGAATGAGTGATGCCTGTGAGAAAGATCTTGGCGTCTTCGTGGAGGGGAAACTGAACATTATCCAGGAGTGTGATACAGCAGCTTAAAAAGCCAATGGGATTTTGGGCTGCATCCAAAGGAATCTAGTGTCCAGATTTAGTAAAGCCATAGTGCATTTGTATTCTGCTTTGGTCTGACCATTTTACCTGGAATCACACTGTGTCCAGTTCTGGGCACCACAGTTCAAAAGAGAGTCTAAGTTGGAAGATATCCAGAGGAAGAGGGCGACTAAAAGGATCAAAGGTCTGGAGACCATGAATAATCCCTCTGAGGAAGCCTTAAAGAACCAGGTCTGTTTAGCCTGCAGAAGAGAAGGTTGAGAGGAGGCATGAGAGCAAGGTTCCTTTCTGCTGCCCTGGAAGCTAGGACTAAATGGAGTCATGGGTTCAAATGACAGGTAACGAAATTCCATTGAACATTAGGAAGAACTTCCTGACTGTAAGAAGAGCTGTCCAGCAGTGGAACTCTTTGCTTCGGAGTCCGGTGGATGCTCCTTCCTTGGGAACTTTTAAACAGAGGCCGGATGGCCATCTGTTGGGAGTGTTTGACTGTGCTTTTCCTGCCTGGCCAAATGGGGTTGGACTAGATGGCCCATACGGTTCCTTCTATTATTCCATGACTCTGTAACCCTCCCCCACTCCCCAATCGTTTTGAAGCCTTACTCTCAACCTGACCATAACAGGCCTACTGCCACTTTAAGGCCTGTTTCCTGCTACAAAAGGGATCCGACGGGAAGCACGTCCCCCTGGAATAAGGTTCCGGCCTACCTCCCTTTCAACGTTTCCCAAAGTTCGACAGGGATTTGTTTTCATTTTTAAACTGATAATAATAACAAGAACAAGGGCACCCGGTACCTTCCCGGAGAGGAGCCAGCGTCCTGAGCCGCGCTCTGAGGAACCTCTCCCGCGCCTCTTCGGCCATCCTGAGGGAACTCCTTCCTTCTCCGCCGGCCTTCAAGCAAAAACAGGGAAGGGGCGGGGCCAAGGCGGTGTAGGGGGCGGGGCCACGTCTGGCGCATGCCCAGTTCGGGGAAGCGGGAAGCAGCTTGGTTTCCTCCACGTGGTTTGGCAGACCAACATGGGATGGGGTTCTTGTGCCATTTCCCCCTCTTTCAACAGTGTTGGCTTATGGGTGGGCATGAAGAAACTATACTCTTGCTGTCGAAAACTTTCATGGCTGGAATCACTGAGTGGCTGTGAGTTTTCTGGGCTGTACGGCCATGTTCCAGAAGCATTCTCTCCTGACGTTTCACCCACATCTATGGCAGGCATCCTCAGAGGTTCTGTGGAATAATGTCCAGGGTGGGAGAAAGAGCTCTTGTCTGTTTGAGGCAAATGTGAATGTTCCAATTGGCCACCTTGAGCAGCACTGAATAGCTTTGAAACTTCAAAGCCTAGCTGCTTCCTGCTTGGAATCTTTTGTTGGGCGGTGTTAGCTGGCCCTGATTGATTCTTGCCTGGAATTCCCCAGTTTTCTGAGTGTTGCTCTTTATTTACTGTCCTGATTTTAGAGTTTTATAATACTTATAGCCAGACTGTGTTCATTTTCATGGTTTCCTCCTTTCTGTTGAAATTGTCCACATACTTGTGGATTTCAGTGGCTTCTCTGTGTAGTCTGACATGATGATTGTTAGAATGGGCCTGCATTTTTGTGTTCTCAAATAATATGCCGAGTCTAGGTTGGTTCATCAGGTGCTCTGCTATGGCTGACTTCTCTGGTTGAATTAGTCTGCAGTACCTTTCATGTTTCTTGATTTGTGTCTGGGCAATGCTGCATTCGGTGGTCCCTATGTAGACTTGTCCACAGCTGCGTGATATAGGGTGGACTCTTGTAGAGGTGATTTTATACAGTTGTGTGGAAGGGGCCAGAATCCCTTTCTACACCGCCATAAAATCCAGATTATCTTCTTTGAACTTATATCTATCAATGTGTTGTTGAAGACTTTCATGGCCAGAATCAGTGGGTTGCTGTAAGTTTTTCAGGCTGTATGGCCATGTTCCAGAAGCATTCTCTCCTGACGTTTCGCCTGCATCTAAGGCAGGCATCCTCCTGGACCTCATAACCTCTGAGAATGCCTGCCATAGATGCAGGCAAAGCGTCAGGAGAGAATGCTTCTGGAACATGGCCATACAGCCTGAAAAACTTAAAGCAACCTCTCTCTCTCTCTCTCTCTCTCTCTCTCTCTCTCAGGTATGGGCCGGGCCAGTGGCAGATGGATGGAGAGTGTGAACTAATTCACACAGTTCAATTTTTTTTAAAAAAGGAAAGAAAAAAGGAAGAAAGAAAAAAAGAACAATTCAATTATTAAAACGAAGAACAATTTTAACTTACTTAAACTTAACAGTATTTCAGTGGAAGACCCTAGAGGCTATTCAGTCAAAGCACCTCCAGCAGATGGCCATCCAGCCTTTGTAATAATAATAATAGCAGAAACACCAGGAGCCATCCAATCCAACTTCCTTCTGCCATGGAGGAAAAGCCCAATCAAAGCACCCCTAACAGATGGCCATCCAGCTTTAATAATAATAATAATAATAATAATAATAATAATAATAATAATAATAATAATAGCAGAAAACCCCAAGGGGTCAATGGAGCACAGTTTGTGAACCCCTGGTGTAGATGCAGACATTGAAGCCAGCAGTTGCCCTCATGTCCCAAATAGTACCCAAACCAGAGGCAATATTCAGCCATCTGTTGCAGTAATGGGATGACCCTTCGTGTGTGTGTGTGTGTGTGAGTGCTTGTGCAGTTGAGGTGCTCCAAAGAAGAGCCAGGTTTTTCTTTAAGATGTTTTCCTGTTCTGTTTCCAATGACACAAGCACCTTCTCATTCTATGCCTAATGTTTTTTTTAAAAAAATTCTTGTTGTAATGAACAGAACATTACAGGAAATACAGTGAAGCAACCTTAAAAGCAAACAATAAATATTAACAACTTGGTTGGCATCAAGTTGGGTTTAGCACTTTTAGGAAGGAAAAAGAGAACCAACATGGTGCATTGGCTTCTATTCAGTAAATGTTTGGCAGAGAAAGGAAGAGGAATAGGAAAGATTTCCAGAATCCCAACAAAGATTTTAAGGACCAAAAGGAATGTTCCTTTTGTTTGAATAAGCAATAACTGGTGCTACACTTCTTCCAGTACACTGTCTCGACTAAGTGTTTTGGCAAAGTTGGTCTCGTGTTAATTTTTCAGGGAGGACAATACTCAAAACTCTCTGTTGAGCCAAAATCTAAAAAATCCATTTTTTTTACAGTTCTCCAGTGCTTTACGATCTCAATTTGAGTAGTGTCAAGCAAAATGGAAAGGAGCAGTTTACATTAGGTTAACATAAGGACCTTGGAAGACAGAGAAGAGCACAAGAGTTGCACTGTGCTCTATATTTCATTCAGTCATTTCAGATATAAAATGTTTTTAAAAATCTACTTCAAACTGAAATGTTTTACAAAATACAGCCCAGATATATAGCCAGCCATGTATCATGTGAGATAATACGGTGGTTGAAAGCGGGGCAATCTAGAGAGAAAGGGACATTAAGTCTAGTTGAGTCCGACTCTGGGGGAGTGGTGCTCATCTCCATTTCTAAGCTGAATTGCTGGCGTTGTCTGTAGATGCCTCCAAGGTCATGTGGCCTGCATAACTGCATGGAGCGCCGTTACCTTCCCGCCAAAGCAGTACCTATTGATCTACTCACATTTTCATGTTTTTGAACTGCTAGGTTGGCAGAAGCTGGGGCTAACAATGGGAGCTCACCCCATCCCATGGATTCGAACCACCAACCTTCCTGTCAGCAAGTTCTGCAGCTTAGCGGTTTAACCTGCTGCGCCACTGCAGCCCCATGAGGGAAAGGTACAACCTGTAAATTCCCCTTTTGAAATAAAAACATTCTTTTGTAATACATTACACTTTATTTACTTATTTAGATTTGACATACTGCAATTGCCGTGTTACATTGTATGTTCTCTGATGCATACATGCCCCCAAAATTATTCATGTTACTTTACAACAATGTAGCTCTGTCAGTTCCATTATTTTCACTTAATTGCATATAAGTGTTCTAATATATTTATCTACTAATACATCCACTTACTTTGTCATTTGGTGGTTTGATTTCATCATTACTTTTACACATGTAGCTGTAAAAGTAAAAATGATTTCCATGTATTTTCAAACAGATCTTTTATTTCTCCTTTCGCCAGTCTTAATGTACAAGGGTGGTTAAACCCTTGTGCAGGCAGGACTGAAGACCGACAGGTCAGAAGTTCGAATCCGGGGAGAGCGCAGATGAGCTGTCTCTGTCAGCTCCAGCTCCCCATGTGGGGACATGAGAGAAGCCTCCCACAAGGATGGTAAAACATGAAAACATCCCAGCGTCCCCTGGGCAATGTCTTTGCAGATGGCCAATTTTCTCACACCAGAAGCGACTTGCAGTTTCTCAAGTTGCTTCTGACATAAATAAAACAAAAAACCAAGGCATCAAAACCATTTTGGAAAAATTCAGAGGTTTATTTCATGATCCATGATTTTTAAACTGTTTTAACATCATTCAAGCCATTGAATCTGAAACCACATTGGTTGTCTTTCAGAGGTCCAAACAGGTCAGAATGGGCCAAATCATAAACATTCCTCAAGTGATTATGGATTTCCTTAGGTGCACAACCTTCTTTTGCTAGAAATTCAAAGATGACTTTTTCTTTTAGCTCCAGACTCATGGTTCTAATCAGTCAATTAGAAAAAGAAAAAACTATATCAGTAGAGTAAGGATACCTCTATCATAAGCCGCCTTGAGTCGCCTTTAGGCTCAAGAAAGGCAGGATAGAAATATCGTAAATAAATAAATATAATGCATAGATAGTCTAGTAGCTGTGAAAGAAAAAATTAGAGCGATGGGGCATTACTTTTTGACCCACCCTCGTACATTGATTTAGTTAGGATTACTGATAGAGAATCCATGACTGGTGAGCATATGCTAAACCGGATCGGACAGGACAGAGAAACCAACTCACCAGGTTGAAGACAAGCCAAAAAGTATGCAAATACAACAATCTGCTTCTAATGTGCAAGCATAAGTATACAGAGAAATATATACAAGACATCTTATATAGTTTTGACAGCTATTCAAACCTCCCACATTCCCCCCTGATTGGCTGAAAAAGGGCAGACTAGGATCCATGCTGGGATTGGCTTGGAGGGAGAATGGCAGTTGGGGATTGGTCAGAGTGAAGGATTGATCAGCTGCAGCGTTGCCTCCTGGGAGGGCACAGTCCGGGGAAAACAAGTGGTAAAGATATGTTGATGAGCTTTGGATGAGCTCAAATGTCTAGTTCTGTGCCAAATAAACATATGGATGTTAGGAAATACAAATGCAAGACTCAAGGGACAAAGGTGCTGATCTTGGGTAATCAAGGGCTTGGCTGTCAACAAAAGAGTTCATGAATGCACATACTCTAAGCTTCTATTTCCACGAAGGACTATCAGCTTCAAGTGACTTGTACCAATATTTTGGGGGTTTTCTGACTGACAAAGGAAGTCACCTATCTTTGCATACATGAGCATTATTTGGGTTGGGAAATAGCCAGAGGGATTTGCCTAAGCTTTTCAATTTCCGGGAGATTATCTGAATAGGGTTACAGAGGGTTGTCTGTTTCCAAATTGCATTTTGATACATTTCTAAGGCCCCTTCGACACTACCATAAAATCCAGATTATCATAGCAGATAATCCACATTATCTGTGTTGAACTGGATTATATGAGTCTGCAATGCCATATAATCTAGTTCAAAGCAGATACGGCATTTCCCCCTGAAACATTTGCAAATCTTCTCTCTATATATGTGCATTTCCCTCCTGCAATATTTGCAAGTTCTATATATTTATGTTTATATCTATCTAGACATCTCTCTATATATGTGTGTGAGCATGCGCACGCACACATTTCCCCTGCAATATTTGCAAGTCCTATATATCTATATTCATACC